TTTCTGACTGTATACTGTTTCTAAATTCTAACGAATAACTAAGTGAATGTTTGCATCAGGGACACGTTCCTTGTGTGATTTTTAGGTGTTCATGCATCTGAATTTAGTGGAGCTGCAGCATGCATATACGTACACACATGGCCGTTTGGTCTAAATGTTTATTTAAGCACGTGTCTCATGTGTGAACACGTTACATGTGGTCAGACCCATGTGAAACATGACTTTATTTATATATCTCTATCTTTTGACCCACCAATTTTTTTGTTTTGTGTAAACATTGTGTGTTACCCCAGATTGTTACCCCAGATATTTTACCGATGGTGTTACTTGTTAGTTTTACAAACTCTAGTAGTAAATCGATCTCACAAATAGTTGTGTTCTATAGGCCGCAACCAAGTGAATTAATAATATTTGTTTTTTTTTTTTGAAATTTTGTGAATTAATATATTGAGAAAATAAATGTATTAACCAATCATTGATATATTCCGTGATATCTTATGTAAAATATTTGGATTTAACATTTCGTGGAAAAATAATTTACAGAGAATTGATCGAAGAGTACGGACAAGAAGTGAAAAAATTGTGTGAAAGGCTCGTGGAGACATTGTCAGAGAGTTTAGGTTTAGAACCAAACTATCTCATGAAGGCCTTAGGTGGAGAAAACAAAGTTGGGGCTGGTCTAAGAGCAAACTTCTACCCAAAATGCCCTCAGCCACATCTCACTTTAGGTCTCTCTTCCCATTCTGACCCCGGTGGCATCACCATTCTCCTCCCGGACGAGAAGGTCGCTGGCCTCCAGGTCCGTCGTGGCGATCGCTGGATCACCGTCAAATCCATCCCCAATGCTTTCATTGTTAACATTGGCGATCAGATTCAGGTATTGTTTCTAATTACCCTTCTACATATAGTATCTTTAACTGTGTTTCTATTCACTAGTGCATTTTGTAACGATATTGTTAAGTATATTTAGCAAAAGATCATATTAATCATCTTGGTATAATGTGATATTTGAACTAGTTTATTGAAATGGAATAATATGTGAATACTAACAGATAACATGTTTGGATCAACTTTTAGATACTTAGCAATGGAATATACAAAAGCGTGGAGCATCAGGTGATCGTTAATTCCGGTAAGGAGCGAGTCTCTTTGGCATTCTTCTACAACCCGGGAAGTGATATCCCGATTGGACCAGTCGAAGAACTAGTATCCGAAAACCAACCTGCCCTTTATAAACCGATCAGGTTCGACAAGTACCGTCTTCTGATTAGGGAAAAGGGACCTAGTGGAAAAAATCAAGTCGACTCACTGTTAGCAAGGAGATGATAATTGATATACATCCCACGTATAATCAGTTACTTCTATATGTACTCGTATACAGTCGTATCTGAATGAACTGTAAACCGTACTTGTACACCAAGTAATAAAGAAAAACTTTAATAATTGGTATCAGTTTGACAAAAAAAAATTGGTATCAAATCAAATTCTCTTTTTTAAAAAACTTTTGTATCAAATCAAATTCTCATGTTTACATTTTAGCCTAGTGGCGTCAAAAGAGGATCTCGTCTAAAGGGCTTAAAAGGTTCGACGAAAAGATAGAAAACGATGTGTTCAACAACTTATAGATAGACATTTCCACCACAGTCCAATTCAGAGTCGGTGCTGAAAATAATAGGACCGCAGGCCCAAAAACATAACAAAAAATTGGGTTGATTCATTAGTGAATTTTTCGAAAAAAAATAACAAAAAAAAAGTGGTGTTCAGAAATTTCGAACAGTTTACTTCTAAGTTCTAATACACATATAAACCTCTTTACCACTAAACTACAAAAAAAAAAAAAAAATTTAACAAAATCTAGAACGAAATAAATATGTTATCTATAAAGGACCACAAACCCCCAAACTTGGCTTGTTTGGACTCATGATCGGTCTGAGTCCAAAAACTCATCTATTATTCTTTCATATTTTTCACCAGCTTCATGTTCCAGCATATACATATTTTGGCTTGTTAAGATTTAATTGTATGTTGACCACAACAAACCGCATCAATCAATGTTGTTCAATTGTATCAAATTTCTTGAATTCGATGTTTGACGCGATGATCATGCAAAACACTTTTAGCGATCAACTCGACGTGGAAGTTGGAAGAGACTGGTAATCCTCCTCCCGAGGAGTTAGGAGGCGGAGTCTCGGGACCAAATTTCTAATCAAATGTCTTTAGAACATATCTTGTTTGTAGATTCATCTGCTCCCTATTAAAAGCGGCTTGATGAATCTAATAGCACTGCC